CTGCTGTTCTATGTTGTTTTCCGTGTGGTTCGGCAGTTTTGGTACTACTACCGTACTAATTGCTAATGGAAGTGTGTTTATTTGCTTGCCAAATATCAGGTGGATTGATGCTGGAAACTTTGCTGCTGTTTTGTTTGTCGTCTAGACATCGGGATTGAGAGAGAAGGAAGAAGAAAAGAGGTGATTGGAGAGACGGCGGCCACATCATCCAAAGTGGAACCCAAGACGGACAGATGAGCTGATCGGGTGACGGTCGCTGATTGACGTGACGGGTTGCTAAGCCGTCTGAGGCTTCCCTGAGCGTCGGAATTGGCCAACAACTGCTTCAAGCCTGAAATGGTAGTGGCGAGATTAAGGGCTCGTTGCAGCGATAACTGGGTCGGTCTCTGATCATCATCTCACTCCTTCTTTAATCCATCGACTTCGAAGGTGGCGCCCACATGCTGTTCTTCGTTCTCTCCTTTGTGCGCTTTTTACACTTTTCCGAAAGCATCCTCTCGCTGTTTACAATTTCCCATTTCACCACCTTCAGTCTTATCCCATCCGACAGCGTTCCACAGAACCGGCTTCCGCTTGTTCGCACTCAACTGGAACAAACTCTCGGATTCCACACCAACCCTGCGCGGGTGGTCGGATGGGATGGCGCCACAATTCGTCGTCATGTGGACCGCTGGCGGCGTCTTCAGGGGCAGACAGAAGCTCACCGTCTCCTCGTTCCGTGTAGCCGCTCCTGTTGGCAGCGAGGAGGGGTCTAGACAGTTGAAGAGCATCTGCCGAGTTGGCAATTGCGTTGCCGGCCGATCAACACTGTTGCCGTCGGGTCGGCCGAGTCGGGAGTCAGCCAGTCCGACGGCCGGATCAAATGGATCAGCGGTCGGATCGCACTTGAGGCCGGTCAGCAACACATGGTCGTCGGCCGCTCGGACCAGCCTGGGCGATGAGTTTGCCGACCAGCCGGCCTGCCTCTCCGACTTGGCAGGATCTTTGGTATCGGCCGTCTCTCTTGACTCCTCCTCCGGCTCTTGGAAGCGCACTCTGGCCTGCTCAGCCCGGCCGGTCTGTTGCAGGGTGAAGCTAAGGTATGGAGGACAGAAGGCATGACGACCGTTATCTCTTCTGGCCTGTCCAGAAACCTGTTGCCTAGGCGACTTGACGCATGGCAACAACAGCAGGCTCTTACGGCCTGACTGACTGAGGGAGGCTTCTAAAGGAGCACTCGAGTCCGAGTCGCCCTTTGGGCAGGTGGTTGTCTTGGGGGTGTTTAGTTTTTGGGTCATTGTGGAGGCACAACCGGTCGGGATAGACCTAGAGACTGGCGTTGTTGGGGCGATCGTCATCTGATCGATGGTCTCTTCTTCGTCGGTGATGGCCACCAGGTCGGAGCAGTAGATGGAGTTGAATAGAAGCTGGTCCGGTGAGTAGGTGCATGAGCTGCATTGACTCAATGAGCCTCCTTGGCTGGAGGAGCCAGTGTTGAAGGTGGCATCTTCCGCGGGCCCCAGCAACGAGGGCAACTGACTGCCTTCTGGTGATCGCATAAGCACAAACTGTGGTCGCTGACTTGGCGGCATAGAGACGGTCGTCTTCAGTGCCGATTTGACCGGTAGCGTGAACGGGCTCGTGGGCTTCTTCACTCGCCTCCCATCACCGCCAGACAGACTATTCGTCTTTCCCGTGGTGTTGAAGAAGAGGCCCTGCTGTCGCTCCAGGTCCATCTTTGTTGCGGGGCTGTTGGTCGGCTTCGGAGGCCCCAGCTCCACAATAGTCTGACCTAATTGGGAGGATGCAAAGGTACAACTTATCCCATCTTACAATGTCACGAAAACTGTCAGTTGTCCATTTAGTTGGAGTCGGTTTACAAACCGACCGGTAGAGATTGAATAAGAATTCTAGTCACTCACGCCAGGTCACTTTGGTTGATGAAGGACGGATGTTGGCATTTTAATACAATTTAATTATTAAACTTACTTCCATTTCGAGTAAAAGTTTTGAGTGAAAAGATTCGAAGGTCGGTTCCACCAGCCGTCGATTGACTTTACTGGAAGATTCATGTTGACGCTGTATCCGAGGCAATCTCCTTCGATTCCGGTGAAAAGGTGCTAAGCTTTTGTCCGTCATATGACGAACATCATCAGATCAAGGTAGCATCGTCACAACCAAATTCAAGCTAACGAGTCAAGAAAACTCTCGTTAGCTTGCATTTTGTTGTGACGATGTTACCTCACCCCGATGATGTCCGTCATATGACGGACGAAAGCTTAGCACCTTTTCACCGGAATCGAAGGAGATTGCCTCGGATACAGCGTATGCATGAATCTTCCAGTAAAGCCAATCGACAGCTGGTCAAGAGGAATCCGCCGTCGTCTTTTGGTGGAACCGACCTTCGAATCTCTTCACCCAACACTTTCACTCGAAATGGAAGTAAGCTCAACAATTATGAAACAAGAGATTCCTCGCAAAAATTCTTCGCACAATTTAATTAGTAGGCTTCAGGTTGGCATTGAATTTCACTTGTCGCTGCCTCCAGAAAGTTATTCTTATCCAGGCCGGACTGAATGGGTCTCATGAAACACCCATCCTTGTCAGAACTCGGCATCAAAAATGGATGGCCAGGCAAGTCAGTTGTATGCATTTTTGAAAAGTAGCTTTTCACGAAAAGTTTGGGTTATTTTTGAGCTAAATCTGCTATATTTTCGGTTGAATAAGTAGGATTTTGGGGCCATCATTAGATCTTATATAAAAGCTATATTCAGTCTATTTCGTTTAAGGTGATCAATTTTCCCAAAATCATATGATTGGGCTTCATGTTTTCATTTAATTTTACTTATCCTTGCTTCTCAAAAGGTATTCTCATCCCAGCAAGAGTCGACGACAATTTCGACTTCGCCTAGGTTGCATCAACTCTCCCAGTGGGATTCAAACTATGGAAGTGTAGTGTATTATCTCGACACATTACCAACTACGCCAGGACGTATGTGAATTTCGAGGCAGACCAGGATTGTTAATGAAACAAGGCTATATTTGCTATGACAAACGATTATATTACTTATTTGTTGTCTGTAAGTAGGGTTTCGAGCCTCGACCAGGCAATTTTTGTCT